ATTTGGGGGAAACAACACATCAGGCAATCGTCATAACAGTTATGTATAAAATTCTGAATGATAAAGTTAATAGAAATTCTCTGTGTCAAAAAAAGGAGGACTCTCGGTTATCCAAAGAAATTATTTGGCATTAGATTCAGGACAGAGAATTGAAAGCACTTGTTCATTCAACACATAGTAAATTTATGGAATTTGATGCCCACTGGTTATGATGGCTCCAAGTTCATGGATGATATGGCTAAGAGGTACTGATAAACCTGGTACACAAATAGGATCCCAGGTGCAGAGGCAATATGCCTCTCAATGCTAGTGGCTGGTGGAAAAACACAAGATTGTACCATGTTTGTCTACTGTCTACAAGCATCTGGATAGCTACTGTGGAAAACAGGGCACCAGACTACATGGACCTTTGGTGTGATCCAGCAGTGCTCTTGATACATTCTTAAAATAAACTTCAATTTATACTAAATAAACGAGTTACACATTTTTCTTACTGCAATTCCAGGCCATATCTTGAAGGAAAACTTGAGCATCCACTGGCAACACTTGTGTTAATTCAAGTTCTAATTTTGAGAGAGAGAGAGAGAGAGAGAGAGAGAAGGCAATCAGGTCCAACAGAGTGATGCACAATTAAGGTTTGATAGACAGAGAGACAGACAGATAACCTTTATTGACATGTGAAAAATAAATTTATTTATTTTTAAGTACATCGATCATAAGGCCAACCAAAATGAAATATATCACTTAATAGCTTCCCTGGGTTGAATGGTAGACGAGAAAACAGGCGACATTAGAGGTTATGAGAAAGTTGTGTCCAGAAAGTAACTGCTGAAACTTGACACTGTCAGGAAGGCCACACCACGTACAGAAAAGGGAGTTCAAAAAAAATTCTCGGATCTTAATGTTTAATAGAACATGAGAAACAGATTCAATAGCACCTAGACTACAGAGGCATTGTCTAAATTCATAGGAGATTTTTTGACATCTTCTGAAGAAGATGGCTGATGGCAATACGTTAAATTTGGCCAGCATAAATGCCCTTCTTTGATGGGGATCAGTTAAAGAACAGAAATAAGAGGCTATCTGGCCAGGTATCAGAGATAATTCCAGATGAATTGGAGAACTAGTTTTCCTAGCAGCCTCAGGCGCTGCAATTGGATATCTAACCACCCACGTTTAATTATCTGAAATGCTGTTAAGGCAGATGATAGGTAAAGTGAATCTAGAGGTATACCTACAAACCTAATTTTGTTAAGGACTAATTTCAATCAGTTAGATTCATGGTAATCTGTCAACATTAGGAAAGTAAGAGAATTCGAATCAGAACTAAACAAAAGGCAAAGCCAAAATTTGATCACCAACCAGGTATGAGTTTCTAGCAACATCTGGCCGGTTTCAAAACAAATCGCAGTGTATGGAACACAGTTAGGGAGACCAAGGATTTTTCCATAGAAAAAAAGATTGTAGTCCCTCAGATGATTGATTGATTGCACTTATCCATATGGGAGCTCCATATTTGTCTCCATATTTGTGGGCTGGATTTTGCGTTAAAGGCTTTTAAAGCCATGGGAACATACCTATTGCCTCTCAGATAGAAAAAAACGGGCAATAGCAGTAGCACTATTCCTTGCTAGGTTGGAGGCATATCTGCAGTGTGTAGCCCAGCTCCCATTGTAGTTGATCCCCAAATATTTGAAGGATTTAACCTGCTCAATGGAATTTCCCTGAACTCTCCATACGAACTGTTTCCAAGATTTAGCAAAAACTAAGATCTTTGTTTTCCTATGATTCAGTCTTAGCCTGTTGTTCTTGCACTAGGTCAAGCACTGATGTAAAAGACGCCTCAGCCTTTGGGAACTTGAAAGTAAAACAGTGTCATCTGAATATAAAAGGATTGGAATATGGCATTGACCAATTTTGGGGAAGTGTCTATCAGTTTCGGACAGAACTGGGGCCAGGTCGTTTAGAAACAGATTAAACAACGAGGGGGCAAGGATGCAACCCTGTTTTACACCTTTACAGATCAGGATTTTTGGAGTTAGATTTCCTTGACGATTGAAGTTGACCTGGCAGCTAGTGTGTGTATAAAGTTTTGTTTAGGACTAATTTCAACCATATTCATTCTGGCCATCTTATCCCACAAAGAGATCTCTTGGGATCTAAGGTTTCCTAATGCCCTATAAATGATAACCAATTGAAACAAAATTGGTAGACATGGGAGAAACACTTCAAGCTGCCCTATACCACCTCAAACTACTGCTTAGTAGAGGGGGAAGAACTTTTCCTTTAAGAGTAAAAACCATGTAGGCCCATTTTTAATATTCTACATCATATACTTTGGAATTTACACTGTAACTATTAAGGCTGTATAAACCATTCCAACACTGAAATGAGGCGCAACACCCTTCAGCAGTAATTTATTTCTCCTACTTCTCATATCCTTAGCTCAGTTTCTTTGTTACAAGCATGAACCTCAGTTGAACAGCACAGCAAGTTTGAAAATGGAGGTCTTCAACCCACTGCCAACTAGTTGTGATATCCAAATGCAGGTGCACACTGAGGTTTGTTTCTCTCACATAAACTTGGGATTTTAATTGGGATAAACCATGGTTAACGGGAAAGAAACGTCAGTAAATGAATGTACCTGCTTTCAAACATTCTATTATGTAGTGGGTTGCCGCATGGAGAAACGACAGACGACGACGTAGTGCATAGCACGCTTTATTAGGTACATAACGAGAGAGAGGACAAACGGCCCGGGGGCCAACTATATACATCCCTGGGGACACACCCCTGGTCACCATTGGTGGGTTTGAATCTCCCGCCACGGATCCCATTGGATCCCCAGTGGAGGGACTAGGAGCCTAGTCCCTATTGTTGTTCCAGAGTCAAGTTCTGGCAACTCTGGCTGACCGCTGGCCCCCGGTGGCGGTCAGCATACACAACACATTCGTTTTTAATCTCAGTGTACGATGCAAGGGAAAGCGAGGGAGGAGGGAAAACATATCCAGGCATAACTAACCAGGCTCATGTCCACTCACAGACTGAACTGAACTGAACCCTTGACACTCATCCCATAATTCTCACATTTCACAAAGAATTGTCTAGCTACAGTTATTAAAGGCACGTCAGTGCCGCTTTATAGCTACCCTGAACCAAAAGAGGCACACTTCCCTCTGAACATTGTGCTAGTAAACACAGAAAGAGTTACACTGTGCACATCACGAAGTACACATCCTCTGGTTCAAAATACACTATTATAGGGATATCGATGCCCTTCAGCTCTAACTTATTTCTCTCATTTGTATCCCCGGTGCAGTTTGTGCCGTTCAGAAAGCTCTGAGGTATAAGCCATTTTTTTTTCCTGTCTCAAAAATGAAGAGACTAGAGTGCGGACCTTCCCAGTCTCTACACCGTTTTCTCCGTTTACTATTAAATATTTTAGATGATAAACCGTATATATACTTTCAGATCTAATGCCAGGCATAGCTTTTATATAATATAGCAATAGGTGGATACAGAGCACAACAGGATGGTGGATAGGTGATTCATTTGCTACTGGCTTCAGTCACTATATGTTCAGCCATACTGGCAAACTTATTCACCTAAGAATTGACTCTGGTTCTGCAACTGACCACACTGAAGTACGTTGCCCCAGCTGCCTCACAGAAGATTCTGCTGTAGCGATTTCAGCCACAGATACAGCTATACATACCTGTAGGATAAGAGACAAACATGGGCTACTAGAGGTCCCTTATTTTCCCACAAGACAAATGGTTTTTACATTCAAGCATTTAACAACACCAATCAATTATTCAAGACACAGGTTTACTATTGGTATAAAATGTATTCTTAATACTAATTCACTGTGGTTCCTATTGAATGATTTGAGATTAGTGGTAAGAGAAAATATGTCAATGGGAGCTAAGCCAAGCATAAAATCAATATCCGAATGCATGAAGAAAACGTCTTGTAACTAGTAGGCCTAACTGATTGGACTGTGCTGTGCAATACTAGAAGTATGCATTCAGCACTGTGACGTCCAAGCCATTCTAATCTGCATTCATCTGAGGTACAGAAATGTTACATAAGAATAAAACATTTTAGAACAAAGGTTATACTGATCTCCATTTGGTGCACTCAATCTACCACAGTAGTTAACTATGAATAATGTATTGGTGGTGAAATTAAACACTTATTTTAACTGCCCTCATATATTGGTGAAAAAAATCTAATTAGCACTTTAATATTAAAGCAGGATTTCTCCCTCCCCTTCATGCAATACATTAATTAGCGACCGATTATCCAGTATCAAGTTGGCCTGTGGTCTATGCCTCCTTTTTGCAACATTAAATTGTGATTCTAATTTTACCTGAAATCTACACTACTGGTCCCCAGGGAATGTGATTCATCTAAATTAATCTTAATGAAGGCAATTAAAACAAATCAGAGAAGTTAGAAATAATTGTAGGATCAATAAAACCTCTTTGACCTAACCTATTCTGAACTCCTCCTGTACATTAAATAGATATAGACTGAAACCAAGTTAAATGACATCTGATTCTTTGCTACTGAAGTTAGAAAGTAGGAAGAAATAAGAATCAGGAGAAAAAAAGGTTTATATTTCCATTATCAACTAATCCACCCTGAAAATTATGCTCCAAAAGACAGAATACAGTGAAGGATCGTCACTGCAGACAGTCATGCAAAGCAACAGCAGAGTTTTTTCTTTATGCATTTTTATCTATTATTATTACAGAACAGAAACCTTTATTGGCATAGCACAGATAACCAGAACAAAGGCAAAATTTAAGGGATAGTACTAAGACAACGACAACCAATATTCCCATTATCTTAAAATACAAAGCAATCCTAACATGGTTTACGAGATTTACAAAGTACTACTCTTGACTTCCATACATAAGTCAAAAATTCAGCGACAGATAGTGTTATTGCTGGACTCTTGTCTGCTAGAAAGAAATTTAAATCCCTATCCAGAAAATCTCTCTGCACAGGGAGAAGTGGGCGAATCAAAACATTGCGCATAGCGAGATATTTAGGACAGTGAAAGAGAATATGGGTGATAGAATCAGGTTCCCCAAGATTACAGTTACAGAGTCTATCCTTGTATGGCACACCCCTGTATCTACCGGAAACCACTACTGAGGGGAAAAGGTTGAACCTTGCAAGCATAAAAACCCTCCTAAAAACTGGAATTGTCAAATTAGCAATATATGGTACCATGGAGGTATGCAAGGGGAGGAGGGGTAATGAATAGAGAGAACAAACTCCAAGACTACCGGCATTAATGATCTGTGCCTCTATATCCCAAATTCTCCTCCTTACCACCTGCAAGATTGCTACCTCACCACAGTTATAGAGGGGTTCCAGATCAATACCTAGGGTACCCACCTTTTTCACTATGGCCTGTGACCACTCTGATGTATAAGGGTCAGCTAAAAGTTGGACCATTAGGCTAGCAGGAGGAGATCGAAAATGGAGCCGAAGCCAATATTTGATCGTAATGATCCAAGCCCGAGATTCTATCAAGTGGAGACCCAGC